CAAGGTGAGAATTAGAATGAGGGCCCCAAAATTCTGTGAAGGAACAGACTTAGCTAAAAATAATGATAATAAGCTGCCAATGTCCCCTCCTTTGTTTGATAATAGTCACTGTCCCCTCATTTGCTTCTCCAAAAATTGCTACTCTGGAGGGCACATCTGGAAATTGTAAAGATTCTTAACCTTTCTCCGTAGATAACATAACCTGCTTGGACTCTAGAGTTTTTGAGTTATCTTCCAAGACCTGTATTGCATAAAGTGACCAGATTTTAACATTGGTAAAGCGGGACACCACTGGGGGGGGGGCAGGGGGGCAGGGCCTGACAACAATGTAAACTTTGATAAGCAGTTCTCGATAATCAGTTCTCAATAATTATTTGTTATTATTAAAGTTTAACATTATGAAATTAACAAAAATAATGTAAAACTCATATCCTGGTGAAATAGCCATATGGCAGCCAAACCGTATATTCCCTTCCTGTTCTCCCACGTTCCCTAGCTTGTCGTGCATTCTTTCCAAAAATCGGGACTTTTTAAAAACGCCACAGGACAAATTGTTAAAAATTGGGACTGTCCCACCAAAAGCCGGAAGTCTGGTCACCTTACTCTGGGGGGGAGGGGAGCTACTTGTTTGTTCCACACAGTTTGGCTCCTTCTGAGCAAACTGTCCTTGCCTAGAAGCAAGGGAGGGAGCCAGTCTCCTTCTGATACCGATTCCTGGGCGACCTTGCCCAGGAGGAGAGTAGAGAATTTACATTAACCTTTTCATTTCCAAATGAAATTACATTAACTTTTCCATTCCCAAATGGAGTTACATTAACCTTTTCAGCAGCCGAAAACCATGTATTCCCTTCCCATTCTCCCGCTGTTACCTAGCTTGTCGTGCATTCTGTCCAAAAATCGGGACTTTTTTAAAACGCCGAGGGACAAATTGTTGGAAATTGGGACTGTCCCGCCAAAAGCGGGACGTCTGGTCACCTTAGTATTGCAGTGGAATGATCCACTCAAGCAGCGCCCCCTGCCAAGGGACTGATAGTTCCCCCCAGAACCCGGCCAACTAGCAGACCCTGATTGCCTCATCCTGTGCCCAAAAAACTGTCTTTAAAAGCCCTGTTTCCCAAATTCTTGGGGAGAAACCGTCTCCTCGCTTAGCGCTATTCGGAGTAGGCTTCCTCTGCTGCACACCCTGCTATCTCTGTGTTCAGGCTTCCTTTTGGGCAGCGCGCAGGTGAACCCTGGTTGGCCGGCAACACGAGGGGAATTTATCCCTATCAAATGGATGCTGTCCCATCCTACAACTGTCCTTGGTAACACTGCCACTTACCGGCTGGGGTCATTTCACTACTGACACTACTGCCACTGAGCAAGGGGACCCAGGGAGCTGAAGGGTCGCCGGCTTCGCCGCCCGCAGGTTGGTGTCCGTGGGTCAGGACTCTGTAGGGGTTTACACTTGCTGGGACGTCCCGCCGGGAAGACCGGCTGTCCCCCAACTCCGGGGCCCTCAGCGTGGGGCGCGCCGCAGGTGAGGTGGAGAAGGCCCTCACCATCTTAAGAAAGAGGGCAGGCAGACACCGCGGTGTTAAAGGACTCCCCGGGAGCCTCCACGGACGTGACAGGAGAGCTTCCAGAGGTCAGTCCTCCGCTATCCCAGAGTGCCCCGGATCCCGGAAGTGCCAGGCTTCCCGGAAGTGCCGGGGTGGCTGACAGAGCCCGATCCTGCCTGGTAGCTGCAGCGAGCTGGGTTGCGGTTCTGGGGCCTGGGTGAGGGCTGGAGGCTTGAGTGGGACTTGGCGTGGGGGTCGCCAGCGGGTTGGGTGGCGGGATGATGGAGGAGGAGGAATTGGAGTTCGTGGAGGAGCTGGAAGCCGTGCTGCAGCTCACGCCCGAGGTGCAGCTAGCCATAGAGCAGGTGAGCGTTCCGCCCCCTTAGGGGAGAGAAGCTCGGAGGCTGAGGCAGCTCCGGGCGGTTGGACTTGGGGAGGGGCGGGGAAGAAGCAGTCTTTAGATCTCCATCTAAAGATGGGGGCTGTGTGCAGGAGAGACAGCGAAGGTTTGCGGGGAGATGGAGGTGGAATAGGGTTTCTGAATCGAGGGAGGGAAAAAATTCCTTTCTAGGCCGTGATTGCCTTTGGAGGATGGGGCGTCCTGGTGGGTTTGGGCAGAGGAGCCCCTAGGAGAGGATGAATCTGGAAGACAGGGCTCCATGGGTGGTAACCTTAGGCTCTGGGAGTTGCAGGGGTTCCTTGATTTACCAGTCCAGTGTCTCTGCTCCTAGTTCTCAAGCTAGTTCCTTGTGAGTGGTGCAAACTTGGAGGAGAATGTGACTTTAATTTCTGAAGCTGATGGCAAAGCACAAGTTAAATGTTGGAAATAACCCCACTACCCTACTTTAAAGGTTGAAAATTCCTGCAGTTGATTAGTTTGGGTTAGGATGGAGAATATTCCTTGGAGATCTCTCATCCTTGCAGGAACTCTTAGTTGACTAACTCTCCTTTCTTTGAATTTTTAATGGTAATGATGTCAGCAGTAGCGATTTCTTGTATAGGACTTGCTCCCTCTACCCTTGTACAGGCTATTGCTCCTGATAAAGGGAGAAAATCTCCCTTAAAGAAATTGTCCGCTCGGCGCCTGTGGATCAAGTGGCTAAGGCGCCAGCCACATACACCTAAGGTGGCGGGTTCGAATCCAGCCCAGCCTGCCAAACAACAATGAGGGCTGCAACCAAAAAATAGCCGGGCGTTGTGGCGGGTGCCTGTGATCCCAGCTACTTGGGAGGCTGAAGCAGGAGACTTGCTTGAGCCCAGGAGTTGGAGGTTGCTGTGAGCTGTGATGCCACAGCACTCTACCCAGGGGGATAGCTTGAAGCTCTGTCTTAAAAAAAAAAAAAGAAAAAGAAAAAAGAAATTGTCATAGGTTATAATTTAAGAAAAGGAGGGTTATGCCTCGTTTAATGACAACTGGGAAATTTTTCTGAGTAACACTTTGCTTCTCCTACTGCAAATAGTTAACATATATTGACCATTAATGCTTATCATGGGCCAAGCTTGTGGCCTGTAATCCCAGCACTTTGGGAGGCCAAGTCAGGAGAGGATTGCTTGAGGCCAGGAGTTTGAGACCAGCCTGGGCAACATAGTGAAACTGTATCTCTATAAAATTTTTAAAAATTACCCAGATGTGATGGTGTGCACCTATAGTCCTAGCCTCTGGGTAGGCTGAGCAAAGAGGGTTACTTGAACTCAAGAGTTTGAGGCTATGGTGAATTATGATGATACCACTGCACTCCAGCCTGGTGACAGAGGAAGACCCTGTGTCTTAAAAAGAAAAAAATCCTATGGTTCAGCAGCTATACTAAATAATGTATTTTTATTGTCCCATTTGTAGACTTTTGGGCGTATCACATGTGTCATATTGTGAGGATTCCAGACAATTGGGCAGAGCTTTTAGTATTTAGTCCTCACTGTTCTACCACTCACTGTCTTTTGACAGAAAAAGACATGCATTTCAGTTGCTCTTTAGACCTAGTGGGTTCTGATGGGAAACACCGATAACACAATTACTGTTTGACAGGGATATCAGAAGAGTACATTTTTTACTATTTCTTAAGAATAAATGTTAATTATACTATTTCTTAAGATTAAGTGTGAAGCATAGGCTTATTTTGTAAGCAGATGTCTTGATGTCAAGACGAACTCAGAATTTTTTGTTACTTTAGCATTCTAAGATTGAGTGAAGTTTTGCAGACAATTATGCAATAGCACATTTGTAAAGAGTAGAGGTATGTGAGAAGTCAAGAAGGGTTGGTATAATGGAATTACATTTTACTCAGAGATTAAGTTTCAAAGTTATTGCATAAAGTGAAAGTCACTACAGACGTGTTACCCTGGAAATTCTTTAAATTGCTCCTGAAGTACATTGTTATAGGCATTTCTTTGCTAAGTCTAGTACACTTGAGTGATTGGTTCCAGTGCTGGTGGAAGAATATTACTGGGTGAAGTAGTTGATTTGTGTTAGGGACCTACTGATATGAAAACATATTGAAACCTAAGACAACACCCAGGAGTGGTGAGAGAAGGGCAGCAATGGAGACCAACTGAAGGACGTGAACACTTCCCATCTCTTACTTCATGCTCCTGGTGGAGCACACATTCATAGCAGGCCAAATTGCCTGTATTTCCTCTGGTGAATGCATATAATTGAGAGGCTGTGTAAATTACGTGTGCATATGATCTGTCTCCACCATAAATGTATATTATGGAGACAGAAATGCTAAACATTTAAAAAAGAGAACGCCTTCACTTTCTTCTCACTTCCTTCCACCTCCCCTTGACATTGTACTAACCTTAACTCATAATTATCTTAGAAGACATTTTGATTGTTCGACACAGTATTTCTTTGGAAGCTTTCTTTAGGGATGAAATTGTATCTTGAGCTGGTGAAGTCCAGTACCCAGGGGATCATTTGACTGCTTTTATAGCCTCCTTTGTTACATGTTCTTCAGGTTGTGACTTTGCAGGGAGTTAGCTATATTTCTTAGAGGTGGCTTGCTTTCTTCTGGTAACCTGAATGCCAGCTCTCTATTTCTTGACGCTGTCTAAAACATACAAATTACTTCAGTACATAGTGAATTCCACTTCAGAGACATCATTGAACTATGGTACATGAGTCTGTTATCAAAGCTTCCTTAATACAACTGTGTCATCAGCCAGTTAATCCAGTAGTACACAGTGCCTACTGACTTTTCCTTGTCCTTGAGATTTCCTTGATATTGGTAGAACTTTTCACATTTGCACTATTAGTTGTGCCAAGATGTTGAAAATTAAAGATTCACCTTAACAGATATTTTATTTGTTTAGAAAAGTATCTGTTTTATATGAAGCATTAGAAAATGAAAAAAGATTTGGTTTTTGTCATCAGGAAACTTACGATCTAATTGTGAGGAAAGAAGTAATACGTAAAATAAGAAGATGACAGTTTTGTTTTCTTGTATTAAAGAGACAAACACTTGCTATGTTGCCCAGGCTGGAGTGCAGTGGCACAGTCATAACTCACTGCAATCCCCAGCTCTTGAGCTCATGCAATCCTCTTGCCTCAACCTCCCAAGTAGCTACATGCCCTACAATTCCCAGCAACTTAAAAAAATTTTTTTTTTTAAAGACAGGGTCTTGCTATATTGCCCAGGCTGATCTTGAGCTCCTGGCCTCAAGGGATCCTCTGACTTTAACCTTCCAAAGCACTGGGATTACAGGCATGAGCTGCCATATACAATTTGTAGTCATTTTTAATCCCCTATTTTAAAAAATTGATTGTCTTTTTAATTGACAAATTTAAAAATTACATGTTTATGGTATACAACATGATGCTTTGGTATATAATCCTCTCTTTTTGTGTAGGTATTTCCAAGCCAGGATCCTTTAGATCGAGCAGATTTCAATGCTGTCGAGTATATCAATACCCTGTTCCCAACAGAGCAGGTAAGTATAGAATTTTGGGTCTCCTTTGTTTCAGTGGCCTCTGGCTCATCCTGAGTGTTATGATTGGTGTGTTATACTATCTAATCCTAGGGCCCTCGATAAACAATTGAGAGTTAAATTCAAATCAGATTGCATTGTAACCAACAAGGTAGTAAGCCAAGTTTGTTAGAGTGGAATTCTTTGTATAGTGAGCACAGTATAGAAGTTGTACCCTTAGATTGTAAGAGTCCTCTCAAATTTTCTGTTGTAAATTGGAAAGCAAGAAGAATTTTTATAATGTTAAAAAAAAAAAAAGTGACAAGTGAGGGTCAGTCTGGCAAGATAAGCCCAGAGTCATAAAGTCACTTTCACCCTGGCTTGGCATCCATAGCACAGTAGTTATGGCACCAGCCACATACACCAAGGCTAGCAGGTTCGAACCCCAACTGGGCCAGCCAAACAACAATGACAACTGCAACAAAAAAGATGGCCAGGCATTGTGGTGGGCACCTGTAGTCCCAGCTGCTTGGGAAGCTGAGGCAAGAGAACTGCTTAAGCCTGAGAATTGAAGGTTGCTATGAGCTGTGATGCTATGGCACTCTACCCAGGGTGATATAGTGAGACTCTGCCTCAAAAAAAAAAAAAAAAAAAGTCACTGTCATCCTTATTTCAAGATATAAATTTTTAGACTTTATGTTTTTTGTCTTGTTTTGTTGGGCAACTCACCTACACCTACACTCATGAGTTTTTCTTACAGAATTGGTTTTTGGGTATTTGAGTGAGAAGTAGACCAGAATTGGAAGCAGCATAGTTGGGAAAAGGGCAGCTAGAGCTCTGTTCAGATTTTCATCATTGATTCAACAAATGTGCATTGGGATCTGCCATGTCTTGTCAGTTACTGTGCCAGGTGCTGGAGATACATTTAATCATGAATAAGACCCAGTCTGGGCTCGGCACCTGTAGCTCAGTGGCTAGGGTGCCAGCCACGTACACTGGAGCTGGCAGGTTCAAACCCAGGCGAGGTCTGCCAAAGAACAATGACAACTACAACCAAGAATAGCCGGGTGTTATGGCAGGCGCCTGTAGTCCCAGCTGCTTACGAGGCTGAGGCAAGAGAATCACTTAAGCCCAAGAGTTGGAGGTTGCTGTGAGCTGTGACTCCATGGCACTCTACCTAGGGTGACACAATGAGACTCTGTCTCAAAAAAAACCAAAAAGACCCAGTCTGTGCCCTTGAGGTGTGCATGAGCAAGTGGAGGGAGAGCTACTGGTAGATGCTGGTGAGGTCTGTGATGCTACAAAGAGGAGCGAAAGAACAGTTCTTCCTAGGAAAATCAAAACCTCCAAGAGAAGAGAGTCTGTCTGCCAAGTCTTAAAGGATTTATTCATTCGTTCATTTAGTCAGACTCATTAGGCATTTATTAAGTGTCTGCTAAGTACTAGGCACTATTTTTAGAAACTGGAAAGAAATGGTAAGCATGACAGGTAAAGTTCTGGTCTCATGGAATCTAGTGTGAGGAGGAAGACAAGAAACAAATCAACAAATAAATACACAAGAAATTATCAAATGTGGTTAATGCTCTGAATCAAAGCAGGTGCATTGATAGGACAGAGTGGCATGGGTGGGGAGTCCTTTAGATAAAGGAAGCTTAAAGGGACACTCCCTCTAAAGCTATTCTTTTTAAGCTGAGACCAGATAGATATGAAGGAGCCAGCCTTGTGAAAATCCAGCAGAATGTTATTTTAGGCAGAGTGAGCGGCCAGATAAATCTGACAGAATGAGGAAGGAAGGAAGGTCTTTCTAAATATATGCAAAGGCTCAGAAAGGGAAACAAAGTGTGCACAGTGATCAGAGCCCTGTAGAGATGAGGCTAAGAAGTGGAGCAAGGATCTGAAGGATCTCTGTCCTCTAGGCAACTCAGTGAAATGTTTTTTTTTTACAGAATTAAATTTTACTAGGCTAATATTTAAGCCTGCATTCTCAAAACGTTATGTACATATTCTAGTACCATTCTTTTTTTTTTTTGGAGACATAGTCTTTTTTCACCCTGGGTAGAGTGCTGTAGCATCATTAGCTCACAGCAACCTCAAACTCCTGGGTTCCAGCAATCCTCTTGCCTCAGTTTCCTGAGTAGCTGGGACTATAGGTGCCTGCCATGACACCCAGCTAGTTTTTGTAGTTTTAGCAGAGATAGGGTCTCACTGTTGCTCAGGCTAGTCTCAAACTCCTGAGCGCAAGCAACTCCCCTACCTCGGCCTCCCAGAATGCTAGGATTATAGGTGGGAGCCTCACTGCTCGGCCTCTCTAGAACCATTCTTCAATAGATTAAGTTTTAGTAGTATTTGCTATATTCATAAAGAATAAAAACAGAGGTTTTAATATTTTCTGGTAACATCCCAAGGAACAGTATGGCAAAGCCCTTGGGGATACATCCCTCTTATTCTGGAGACTGTTACTGTAGGCAGTGGGTATTCATTGAAGGACTTTTGGCAGGGTCATATCGAGATCAGATTCACGTTTTTTAAATTCCATCTGGCAGCAGACTGGGGGATGAACTAAAGGCCAGGTAGGCAAGACTGGAGGCAGGAAGACCATTTAGGAGACTAATATATTCACTCACTTGGGAGAGATGAGGAGAGCCTGAAGGAAGGCTATGGGGCGGAGAGAACGAGATCTGATAGCTATTTAGGGGACAGAAGTCACACAATTTGGTGTCTGAAGGGTGAAGCTAGAGGGTCAGATAGAAACCAAAATTCACTAATTCCCTTACTGTACAAAAATGTCCTACTCTGCCTAGCTTTATAAGAAATACAGGGGAAAAGGAGTGAGCAAGGCAGGTATGGTCCTTACCAACACAGAGTTTATAGTCTATCTTAATAGGTAAAGACACAATTAACAGATGATAAGTAAATTACGAAGTTAAAATAATTTGTATAATTACTCAAGTTTACTTGCTCTTAACTGTAATAATAGTTCACCTTTATTGGATGCTTTCCAAGCACCAGGTGCTATTCTACGCCTTCAGGGGTATCCAACTTGTGGCCCAAAGGCCACATGCAAAATTAGGCCACATGTAAGGACTTTCTTGCAGATATGTGGTGGCAGATATCATAAAAATTATGTGATTATGTGTGGACCTTTTTTTTTTCTTGGCTCACCAGCTTTCCTTAGAGTTTGTGTATTTAATGTGTGGCCCAAGACAACTCTTCTTCCTTTGTGGTGCAGAGAAGCCGAAAGGCTGGACGTCCCTTCCCACTTTGTTATCATTCTTGTTTTACAGTGAGGCAGAGAGGTAGAAAGAAAGCTCAGCTTACACATGACAGCATTGTCATGAAGGAATCATACTAAATACGGTGGAGGCGGAACACCCAGGGCCTGAATTTAGTCTGAGAGATCTGAAAAGGCTTCCTTCCCCGGGCAAACAGCATTTTAGCAGAGCATTATAGGCCAAGTTAAGAATTTTGAGCTTTGATTTCTAACCTCACAGAGTGGGTGGGTACCTTCTCCCAATGCCGAGTGGAGGGAAAAAGAGCAGTTTTCGTTGGAAAGTGAAGTAGGGGTAAGGTGTAAGGGTGAGTTTAGTTTTGAACACGTTCAGTCATCCAGATGGAAGTGTGTAGCTTGGTGTTTGTGGAGCTCATAATCTCTGTCATTGTTAATATCTTGGCATATATCCTTTCAAACTTTCTAATGGACATACTGATTGATAAAATAAAATTTAAAAAATGAAGTACTGTGTGATTGTCTTTTTTGAGATTTCACAAATAGCCTTTATTATAGCCCATCATTTTGTATGAAGGGGGAATTTTAGGAACTGGGTGGAGACAGACTTTTGGGAACAAGTATAAAGGTAGCGATTGCTGACTCACCAAAACAAAGTATAAAATTCGAAAATTATATGGAAACCACCAGATTTTCCACCTCTTCCTGATACATTTGTGTATTTTTTAAAACTACTAAAGGTAGCACAATTGTTATTCCACTGATTCAGTTATATGTCTTGTCTAATTATACTCTCATGAACATAATAATGTGTAGTGAAGTTTCTTAGAGTAACTCAAAAAAATTGTGACACAGAGTTAACTTTATTTCCCTGGTCCCAGAATTACACCTAACAGTTCATCTACCAACCAAGATTCCCATGGACTTTGATGAAAAGATAACAGAGGCTCAGCGCCTGTGGCTCAAGTGGCTAAGGC